GCCTTTTGATCAGTTATCTAATTCATCGATTATTTCATCATATCTGAGATCGCTCGACTGATAACTATAGCTTTCATTGACGAGATAGCGATCTGCTTCCAAGGAAAAAGAAACCCAAAATAAATGAAGGTTCTGATTACTTTTGAAGTTGTTTGCGAACAACTGTTGCTTTGTAAGTTCGCCAACCCTTCTGAGCAACCAACTGGATGACATCAAATATACGCTGATCTCAGGATTGAATATTGGCTTCAATATAGCCATGGAGGAATGACGTTGCATTTTTTCTAACACTGCCGTAGACGTAGTACAAAACAGGTGCGAGAATAGAGAACTAATTGCATATGAAAAGAACTGGAGGCAGAAGTCACCTTGAATTGCTGAAAATGAAGGTTTTTGTCTTCTGAAGGGAATAAACATGGGATGAAGGTGAGATTTATGGGGAGGGGTCGCGGACTGCTGAGCAGCTGGGGTGTTTTGATATTTGACAGGGTTTGACTGGATTTATCTGTGAGATATATACAGAATACATACGGTGAGGGATACACTTTGAATAACAATCGGCCCAGCTCTTAAACCACACTCAACTTCAATCACATCTAAGACACACCCACATCACACCCTTCCACACTGACTTTCAGTTGAATTATATTAATATTGAATTATATTAATATGCGCAATGGTGTTCTGTGGTTGGAATGTTGAGACCCACGCTGAAGGTTTTCCGGCCGAGATTGAAAAATCAAGTGTATGCCCGATATGTATGATGCTAGAGGCATTTCTGCTGTCTTTATTCAGGGGTCACACTTTCTCTACTGCTCATCCCTCCTGCTGTTCGTCCAATTCGACGGTCAACGGATCCGCCCCCAGTTCCGCAAAGCAACGAAAGTATTGCTGTTGGTCAGGGGTATTTTTCTCCCAGTGTAGCATGAGTTTTCGTCCGCCAATATCTACGAAATACTGGATGTCACCGGGCGTGAGCTTTAGTCGAAGCTCAAGCAAGCAATAAGATCCTTGAAAACACCCAAGTAGGTACGCATATTGGACCTCAACGTATCCAGTAATCGTTTCGTTCAGCTGCCCATCCACGTAGTGCTCAGAGAGAATACCAGAGAGAATACCGATCACTGCTGCACAGAGTTTTAATGTCTATAGCTCCTGTTTACCTCCCACCGGTTTGAGTTTAGGTCCAATAACCTGGCTAGCTAGCTTACCGTGCTTTCTTCAAGTCGTTTGTCTATAGAACTAAGCCTGCTCGTCTGCAACCGCCACAAAATAATCGCAGGAAACAGTGGGTAATGTCGCGCAACTACTAGCTCTCCAACGAAACATCTCAGACCGGCAGCCTCGAGAATCTCGGCAGAGCGAACAGCAGATGACTTCTCAATGTAACAAAATATTTCCAAGTCGGACATATTACCAATATAACAAATGGATGAGATAGAAGGAAGGGACCGATTACACTACAGAACACGGAAGAAGTTTCGCAAAGGAATGAATGATGTCAGTGGCATAAAGTGTAATTGCATTAGTATGCTTGACACACTCGACTTTACCTTAATTTTCCATAGTAATTTGCTAATTTGAGAATTAGTTAGCATATGAGATGCTATATATATATATATATATTTATCATAAAATGTATATTATTGTAATATTATTTTATTGGAAATATCCACTGATAGGACGACTGACCTTTGGCCCCCAAGCCGGTTTTAATTTAGTAACTAACCAAAGGTTACGTAGTAGGTTCAAGCTCCAAAAATCAGCAGGGATAATAAGACAAAATAAAGCAACGGAACAGACTAAGAAAGCTCCAAGAAAGTCAACGAGGGACCGCAGGCATGGAGCAGTGGAGATAGTTAGCTTTTCGAGGAGGTGTTTCTTTACCTGTTGAATCACAGGAGAGATATTCTGTGTGAAAAACCAGGTTCGGTTGCTCTCACCAACCCAGCAGGCCCTGTGATGATGGCCTGCTCGCTGACACAAGGCTGAACATACAAGAGAGCTGGGTTCATGCCTGGTGTCCTCCACTTGGTTTAGCTAGCTGAACGTTTCGCTGGGTTCTCTGCTCCCTGATTGGGAGTGAGGCCGCCACTCCAGTTTCGTGCTGGTGAAGTAAAGGATAAAAACCTGGGTATCATGGAATCTTTTTTTAAAGTTGTTGGCGAAAGAGGGGGCATCTAAGAGAAGGATAGAAGAAAAATGCTGATGGTTGACGAGGGTAATATGGGGTTGCTGGGATGTTATATACTTCCCATGCGGCCATTGCATAGAATCCATCCGTTGTTGACAAAAAGGCTACGAATTAAAGTCCGAGAGAAAGGCCATAACTACGCGGTGAAGTTACTGCGAGCTGAACTCAATATATCGTGTGGATGGTCGACATCCCGCTGTGCTATCTCTCCTACAGCTCTTCCATTGATGGATGTGGATGAGTTGAAAGACCTCTGTTTGCTCTCTTTTTTATCACGCAGCCATTATCAGTCATCCTTGTCTAAGTCACATTCTTTCCTCCAAAGGAGAATGGCGTTGAGGTAGCTTCAAATATGCAACAGAAGTTTGTAGGAGCAAGCGTCTCTGTGTTGATTGTTTCGTTTCTTTGGTACCATTTTCATCTCCTCCCGGCCTTGTCTAGCAACTATAGGAGAGATACGTTCTACATGGAGGATGCCGCCGCCCTCAACTTCCTTGTAAATGATATTGACGGTATGTCGTTTATGTTAGTTTCAGTCTTAGTTCTGTTGCTCACATGTGATTCTATATCTTTAGAAATCTGCCTCGTCTGGTCAGAGCTATGTCAACACCACACCTTTGGTGATGAGTCGTGGGAAAAAACACTGTCGATACCTCAAGGGCTATGGAAACTTGACCCATTCAACATAGATGTCTTCCGTTCAATCTCCATTTCTAGAGTGCGGGGAGTACCAGGAGTATATCCTAATGTCCATCAGCAAAGCCAGCAAATCCAGCACAAAGAACAAAAGCGAAAACAACATCCTCTCGAAGACGGCCATACAAGCCTACCACGATACCCCCATAACGCCAACGACAATGATAATGAGAAACTAAATAAAGATTTACCTGAATCGCATGGAGTGACCAACCTTCACTTTCCACCAGAAATCGGACATATCCATCATCCTATCTATGCATCATACTGGCAACAGCAACGAGAGCAACCGTCCCCTCACAAATCGAATGACAGCATTTCCTCATCAATTTATCCGACGAGTCCCAATGCCGTACCTTCCAGCCTTCTGATACAGAAAGATATCAATCGACTTAACCTTCTCCCACTTCTTGTTAGAGGGGCAGAACGACAAACACCTCATCTCAAATATACTTATCCCCTGAGTTCAACTGTGGATAATTCCTCGGGCTCCCAAATCTCGTCTTCCCTCCCCTCGTCATCATCATCGTCATCATCATTTGCAACTTCTTCTCCATCCTCTTCGTACACCATCTGTGCGACGCGGAGTAGAATCTCGTCGTGTGAAAAGGAGATACGGGGTAGTTTACTGGGGATAGTTGTTTGTATAGTGGTGAGTGTGTTGTGGATTTAACCTCGAGAGGAAGGAGTAAGAGCCAAAACGTGTGTCTGGTCTGCACCAGCGGCATAGATGGTGTTCAATCAGGTACGATTTATCCATGCACTATTGTGATGATGCATGTCTGCGATTTTTACCTTCTGTGTTTGTAATTTCTTTCCCCCATTTTTGGTATTGTTTTTACCAACAGCGACATTTTTGTATATAAATTTAAGACGATACGCCGGCATCGCTTTTCTCGCGCATAAGACTCGTACGTTTGTATTTAACCTTTCTTCCTCTGTTTTCTTTCTTCTTAAGTCATTCTAATTGTATTTTTTTCCACTGAATTATATTCTTATATCCTCATTCAACTTGGGAACCTTCAGGGTGTGGCGGATCATTGGAAATTGCCCATCGTGCAATGGGGATGTTTGAATTGGAATATCAGGATCTCCGAAAGGCTCTGAAGCCCGAATATCACTTCTGTCGAATCGGTTTTCTTGTTTTTTCTCCATCTTGATATTTAAACCTCTACTTCTCTCCTTCTAAGGAAAGAAAAATTCTCACTTGCACCCCGCGCCGTTATGTTTCACTTATATAACTAAACGATTCTGTTGTATGAATCTGCATACCTAGGTACAAATTTACGGCGGATGAATGGCCAAAGTCATGTGCTTTCGATTGTTTTCAGATAAATTTCTTTCTTAATTGAATGATGCTCCTATTGATCGCATGAGAAATGATGTCAATATCTGCTTTTGAAAAAGGGAAATTTGCCGAAAGGACTTTTAGGGCACAAAATAGACCATAATGAGGAACATCTTGAAGACTACATAAACTAAATCAAAAATCGGCCAACAAGTGTCCAAGCCTAGAGAACACGAGACAAATGTGCGTGCCATGTTCGCAAAATCAAAAGCACAAACTTTTGCAAAACCTACACCATCACAGGGGCCTCAATCTTTGTCAGTCAGGCCACAAATATCTAGTCAATTGACTCGTCTGCTGGCGAGGAGTTCTTCGATCTACACCAGCCAGCCAACGATCCAATTACCAAACCACCATCTCTATCCAACCTTGTGTTAGTCGTTAACTTTGCAGATCAATCGGCAGGCATTCCAACCACGACAAATCATTCATCGCATTATCGCGTGGTCCATCAGTATATTCATCCCTCCCAGGGGGAAACATGGAATCCAACTTCTCCAACGCCATCAAACAAACTTTCGCGCGAGGCCAAATAATGGCATATTTCCTCATCAACTCAATACTCGTCCATGCTCCTTCGCTAATAACTTGCATCCCTCCAAGGTCGTCTATTACGCCCTTAGGGCACCTGCGAGCAGCAATGAAAACCTGCGCACATGCAAACACATATCCTGTAGTCTCCCAAACCGCTGGTATGGAGAGGGTGTCATACCCATTTATGACATCTGTACCACGACTCTCGACTTCGTCGATAATATTGATTATCTCCGCTGCGGCGAGAATGCATTTTACCGCGCTTTCATGAGCGATTATGTGAGTCAGCGGTATCTCGATTTTATCTATAGCTAACCCTCGCCGTGATGGTTGGGAGGTGGGCTTTTGCATTCGTGAGCGCGCGTCAATGTCCGGTGAAGTGGCCGCAACTATGGCCAATAGCGGGCGCCAGAGGAGGAGACGCATGTGTAGATAGCGGATACGGAGGATGTTGTGTTGTCGCTTCGCTAGGAGGTAGTTCAATGAGTTGACGTTGGTGTCTGGGTGTAGAAAAGGCGGCAATCCAGCTTGCCAGTTGGCGAGGGATTGATCGACACTTATGAGTAGTTGGGGATCTAAGGCATCAATCTTCTTGCGTGCGCCGGAGTTACTAGTTGATCGGAGTTCCTCTTGGATCAGAATGATGTCATTATATCGATTGTAGAGGCGCGTCGAGTTGTTAAAGAATTCTATGATTGAGGGACGATCAACTGTCGCGTTTCGGTCCGCCGAGTCATTGAACGAGAGGCGGTCGATGTAGTCCCGATCACCGGGAATAGGAAGAGGGGTTTCGAAAGAATGTTTCGTTAAGGTTGTAATGCCCATTTTCATGGCAATAATCCTGTGTGAAAAATCTTTAGCAAATTAAGTTCAGGGAAGGTGTGAAGCACGAGCTAGAGTCATGTGTGCCATACCGTTCTAGCATCAATGAACAATGCCAAACTCGTCTCGCTAGCTCCTGGTTGTCCCTCAAAGTCAAATGGTGGCTTCCAGATACAAGATGCAAATGCAGAGACTGGCCAGCACGTATAGCGAGGCCGACAAACTTCCATGCAACAGGTAGATTATTATCCGCAACCAGATATTGGGCTAGGACAAGATAGACCTGAATATGTAAAATTCCTCCTTTTTCAATTCCATTCAGAAATACAAGATTTTGTGCACGTGCGAAGTACTGTTCAGCATCTTTAAGGTCACCTGGGTTGAGTAGCAGGGTAGCCAGGGCAAACACTCCGAAGAGAAAACTAATAAATAAACAATCTTTATCTAAAACTTCTGTTCCTGAGTCCCACAGTTTCACATTTCCCCACAGTTTCTCATAACGGTCAGTGAACGTGTCCCGCTGGAATAACGGTAGATTGACAAACTCCCGCATAAGATAAGTAGAGACCAACTTGTTGGAAACAGTGCGGTGGGGAAGGCGAAGGTCCGTTGAATTAGCAGATAATATTGATGATTTTCCCTTCCGATTTGCTATTTTATCTAATCGCTTTAGCTCTCGATCAGATTGAACTGTGCTTCCGGGTTTTGAGACACCCGTTCTCTGGAACACAGCTTGTCGGACCCGTGAAAGAAAGAAGTTGGCGTCATTCGTTTCATTATCGCCTTCAGAGGGTTCTGGTGAGTCTTCTTTGTCATTAACTTCTTCTTCAGATATATCCGAGTCACTAGATTGTTGAGCTTTTAGGGTAATATCCGGATCTTCCGGAGTATGCGGTCGAATATTGTGAGATTGTCGCCTTCTTTCGTAATTACTAAGTGTGCGGATTCTGAAAGGAAAATTTTGATCGCGATGAGCAGACAGCTGAACATCGCTAGGACCGTCCAGCTTTTCATCATCTTGGATGACCGATCCCTCATCATCGCCCTCATGAGACTTGTCCGATTCGGGTGGAGTCTCAGAAATTGCTCCAACCAGCTGGAAGCTAGGGCTAGCACGACGTCGGTGCGCTTGTGAATTTTGCGAGCTGCGGACAGAAATGTCTAGGTTTCCATTAGTCTCTTTGAGAACTCTTGGGAGAGATGTTCGGGGTTGTTTGGATGGGCGTTCATCTGAGGGGGATTCCGGCAGAGACGAACGATGAGGCTCCAGACGTTTCCTATTTCATATCTCTTAGTTCTCAACATTTGATGAGTTTACAAAATGAATCTTACCGTTGCAAGGGCGGAGCAGAATCATATTCGCATTTCGCTTCTAGACCTCTCTTTCGGCAAGGCCCGCATGCTAATTGAATCAGTTCCCGTACCGAGTACGTTTTTCAATGATAGAAGACATATTGGAGAAGTACATAACAATTTGGAACCGGAAAAAGGTAAGTACGGCCTGCAATTAACGGGATATAGAAGATAAAAAGTATAATTACCTGGTGCTTCCCTAGAGCATCTTCTTTTCGCAGCTCTACACACAAGACAAGCGCTGAAGGCTCGTTTTTTAGTGGCCAGCTGATGAACATTGGGTTTTGCAGCCGCTGGAGACGACTGTGGATATTGACATATGCGATCCTTCTGCAAACATGTACTGCAAACTATATGCCGCCCGTAGAAAAGAAGATAAAACTGCATGTCAGCATTCGACCACAGGGACCTCGACCGCTAGAGAAGTTTTGCTGACCTGGCTGGGCCGCATCACAGCGAATATGTTTTAGTTGGCAATTTGAGCATCTCAAGGCCCGGAGCGGCTTGGCCTGGGAGGAATCGCCCATGGCTGCACTTTCCACAGTCAAGACGGTTGATTCTTTCTCTCCTTGGGTCATCGACGCGTCGCGTTAAAAAATGGCTATTATCTTCATGACTTAAACAAAAATCGTGAATTATGCGGTTTAAGCAAATGTACAAAACCTTAAAGCATCAAATCTAGACGACCCAGCAGAGTACTGCTGAAGGATTCAGGCGATGTTGTGGGGTTGGAGTTGAAAAGCGCTCTGAAGTGAAGTGTTGTTTGCAGCCAAGGGCACGAGCGCCGGAATCGGGCCGGAATACCGGGTTCCGCGTTGCCATACCCTAACAGCGCTCTGATGTCCTCATTATTTAGGTCATGCTGAATATTATTGGAATTTTACACAACGCGCCATACATCGTTAGAATTAGCCTTTGTTCCGCTATCATATCTGGATTTTTAAACGTATATTTACTCATTTAATGTTGTAATTGACTATGGGTGTCCCATACCGGTATTCTCACTGGTTGGACGGGAGCTGTGTGGTCAATTTAAGCTTATTTTCTAGATCTAACCCAATCTGCTCATCGATTCTGGCCATCTTCGTCCAAAACTGAGGATCAAATCTATTATTCATTGGTTGCCACTAGAAACTTGCGCTATTTGTTATAAAAAGGTGAAATGGAGAGGAAGTAACACTCCAAAAGTCTTGTACAAAAAGTATTAGATATTCGACGAACATTTTTCCTCGACGGAATAAGCCTTCACCCGTCAACTTAATGCCCATCTAGATTTCAATGCTGCACTGATGATTTTCGACTGTTTCAATATCAACCCTGCTAGTTCCACCACTGACTTTGCTACTAGAATTTCCATAATTTGTAAGCCCGCTTGAATCTCGCGGAAAATCCAGTTTCGTACCTCAATGGTAATAAGGGAGTCCAACCCGTAAGCTCCCAGTGGTTTTGAACGGTCGATCTCGTCGACGGACTTCATCATCATTACCGATACCTTTGTACCAAGGGGTCGACCACTATTTTTTTTAACGGTCATGGACTGCAATGTGTGGGACGTCTAAGTGGTTGTATTAGCATGTAGGCAGCTGAGGCATAGATGCAGTGGTGTTGGCAGGTGTTCGCCAAATCACCTGTGGTTGCTGCGCCAAGTAGCCTGTGGAGTTCAGTATCATCGATCCAATCAACACTCAACATGTCCGCAACGTCAGTCTTCCTTTGTTCGTTTTCTGGAAGATACGCTAAAATCAATCGTAGTACAAGGCAAACCCACCGCGTTCCTATAGTGTCCAAAAGCTGACATAAATGTGCCTCCCGCGGCGTATGCTTCTTGACCTCGGTTACCAACAAGGTTGGCTATTGAGGAGAGTATGATGAAGAAATCAAGGTTGCAGTTTAATCCTAGAATGCGTGGTGGATTTTCCAGACTCCAGCAACTTTGGGTTTCACGACAGCATCGTATTCGCTTTAGCTCATGTGTTCGAACGATGTGTCCTGAATGAAAGTTAGTTGATTTGAATATGTTGGCAATATGGGGAGATAAGAGGCGTCACTGACACGAAAAACCATTACGCCATATATGACCCCTCGTACAGGTGGCATATGTAGTAGCTTTGATACCAGTTTGCCTTCTACTGTTGGGGGGTTTGGATTGGTTTGTCCCCTCTACTACCAGCATGGCGCTGGTGTGAGAGAGCTCTTTTGCCCCAGTGGCCTAACATCTACTTCTTCCTTATTACTAACATCACACCGGTATACGACGACTGTCGCTCCGTTAGCAGAAAGTTCCCTGACTGGCATCCCAACTCTTTGATATTTGCTACCAGTTCGTGAGTTGACAATTATACGTTGGGCCCCTTTCTCAGCTAGCCGCGACGTGATATTGCGGCCAAGACTCCCCGTCCCGCCAACAATGAGGTAAGAGGCTTCTGGAGAGCACAAGGTGCCTGCTTTCTTCCTTGTGGATACCTGTCATGGATACACATTAGCACCTATAAGCTGTTCTCGAATTGATCAAACTAACCTAGACTAAAGCATTCCTTTCTGTTGTCACTATTTTTTAAATACTGCGACCAGTCTTCGAGCAATGGCATGCTTCTTCGAAATTGGATATTGAGAAGCAAGTAATTGGTGATATAGGCTTAGCAGCACCAAGGTCAAACATCTTGACGACTCCAAATAGCATCTTTTTCACCAGCTGCGGGCGTTTGTTGGCCGGTAAAGTCAATTCCACATATGCAAAGCCCACATTGCGGTCGAAATGGGTCATTGCCAGTCTCTAATTCCACATGATATCCTTCTTACCCATTTCAATAAATCGCCCAAAAGGGGCAATGGATTCCCAAGTCGCCCGTAGTGTATCTCCAGCCAGGGAGTTCAATGCTACATCAACACCCACACCATTCGTCGCTTTGCGAATCCCCTCAGCGGAAGGGGAATCACGACTGAAAAATTTCCGGTTTTCGTCGATATCGTGAGTTTCAATTAGGAACTTCTTTTCACTAACACTACCAACTGTTGCAAAGATTTCTGCACTAATCGGTTTGGCCAAGATGACTGCCGCTGTATGAATAAGAATCCGTTCTCCAGGCTGCAGTCGTCCAACTTCGAACAAGAAATAGAAGGGTGTGCAGAATGCAATCGGGATGGATGTGGCCACTTTGAGACTCAATTGTCCCGGGATTTTCCAGGCGCTTGTTCCTCGAACGCGGGAATAGTTCGCAAAGGCCCCTTCTGAGACAACGCAATCCCGGTCACCAACTTGAAAATCCGCTACCTCATCTCCAACAGCAACTACTATGCCGCTGCATTCATTTCCTAAGTGACCATACTGAAGTTGACCCATAGCAACCATAATATCTTTGTAATTAAGTCCAACAAATCGTACTTCTATTGCTATCTGATGGATCAAGAGTGGAGTGAAAGCATACCCGCAGTGTATGCAGCAGCAATTTCGCCGCTAGAGTGACCAACCACAGAAACAGGATGCACTCCCCAGGAACACAGAAAGTTTGTCAAGGCTATTTGAAGGGCCGTACAAGCCGGTTGCCAAAGGGATGCTTGTGAGCTGCGACCTATACCACTGTTTTTTGATAACTCATCTTGGAATCGTTAGAAGAATGCAAACTAAAAGATTTCAACATGTGGAATCTCATACAAAATCATAGAGAACTTAGAACCTAGATTGGTTAAGCACTGATTCGCCGCTTCCATTGCCGCGGTGAATACTGGATAATTCCCAAATCCAGAATGCGCTCTGTGATCGAAGGGGTAACATTTGCCAACATCGGGGGAAAGTTTAGGAATGATTGTTAGTTATATTCACCTCTGCAGAGACATGGATAATATAAACACGTCTGGAAATATATTGAGATGGCAGCTACCACCTATAGCGCAAGTGGATCCGCCTGAACGAATGCTCTGGCATGCTACAAGTAATGCAGTCAAGCTCGACGAACACGCAGTATCTATGGACATGCTTGGTCCTTTGAAATTGAAATGGCATGAAATTCTGTTGGATTGAAGCGACAATGCGAAAGCGGTAGCATGATACCGTGAAATATTTTCACTGTCTTTGTAATTGTTCAAATCGTAGTCTGAGAGCGAGGTGCCCACGAAAATGCCCACCTGCTCACCGGCCAATGATTTTAAAGTAATGCCTCCATTCTCAAGAGCCTCGCATGTACGTTCGAATATCACACGTTGTTCTGGGTCAAGAGACTCAGCCTCATGCTTGGTGAGATTGAAGAAGGGCGCATCGAAGATCCCGATATCCTCCTTCAGAAAGTAACCGGCCCATATGTTAAAGATTCCATTTTTGTCAGGGTTAGGATAACATGAGAAGCCGCACTAAAACGGTTCTCCGGTATGGTGGGCCATCCGCTGCGGCGATGAGAGCACAATTCCCAGAGAGTATCAGGGCATGTGGCATCTCCAGGATGCCGACATGACCTGCCAACTATGGCCACCGGCAACAAATTGTCTTCATCACAGCTGCCCATGTCGAGATCAAGTTTCAAATTTGTCGTGGATGCAAAATAGAGTATCGGCTAAGAATAAAAAGACTTTCTATGGGAACTCGGAATGAACAAGTAACGTAGGACTCAGGGGAGGTAGAATCCGACAGTTGGCTTTAAGGCGAGTATTTTCAAAGATGAGAAGGGGATGGATACATCGGCGAAATATTTCTTGTCCTCGAAGTGAGAAAATCCGCAGAATGTGAAATAAAAAGAATATTGGGCCCTCTATTCTCACACATTCCAGAGACATCACCACTGAGCCGATAGGACACTTCAGCCACGGTATCTCGAGTCATTTGGCTCACACGGCTTATAATCAAGCCACCTATGCATCGATAACATTATTATTAGAAATATTCTCATTGTTGGAGTGTATAGCAGATCATACCTGGCATTAGGAAATCGTGAAATTGGGTTAGTGAATGGAAACCGGGAGACTCCTATTTCGATCGCTCAACCCATCCATCCAAACAAACCTACCAGCCAGAAATTGAATTTTAAATATGGGCTCCCAGCATCAATCAAATCATCAGCTGCATTTTTGAAATATGTTGATTCCGAAAAACAAAACACTTTCATTATGCCTGTGTTGGTATAGTCAGCTACCCGAGCACGCCCCGTGTCACCAATATTCGAAAGATAGCATGCACCAGGCCAGTTTTTGTTAAAACCGGGTACTTATGTTTAGCCCTGTAGGATGCCGTTCGATAAAGCAGTTCAATGGCTTCGCCAATGAAATACATCCAGTTACCTATCGCACAATATTAGATCGATTGTGGGTTGCCCAAAGAATGTTCGTGAGGATGGGAACACTCACAGCTCGCTTCCTGTACAGTTGTGTAGTGCATAGCAATTATCGAGAGCGTGTCATAAGAAAACTGCGTGCTAATATCCTTCCCCCGTTTACTCTCCTTTTGGCGTTGTAGAATATCTGCACGCGTGACAATGCTAGTATTTTTGATCACAGAGGCTCAAGCAAATAGTTGAAAAAGACGAGACATAGTGTACACTTAAATGAAAGAGCACTTAAGATTAAGATCTAGCTGCAAATATTCTGCATGATGCTGTGGGAGCTGGAAGGATGTTCCCTGCCGAGGTACCCCGCCATTGGCCAATGCATCCGCTCCTACGCATAATTAACTAGCGGTTATCAGAAGGGGAGCTTTCGGCAACATTGAGCGAAGGCGGGGCGTAGCAAACTCTGCCAGGTCGAGACAAGAAGTCAAGATACGGCATACACTTTCAAAGGTCGAAGATAGGGTATTTACTACATGCTCCTCCCTTCTTTTTCTTTAACTTATTTCTAGAAAGCTGTGCCAGCTTATATATATCTAAAGGGGGGATATTAGGTCTTAGAAGTTTATGCCAATCAAATCACATTTATTTCGATCCTAGTATTATACAGAATAATCATCTTCATAACCAACAATGCAAGCTGCCAATCGCCTCCGGACTGCGCTTCAAACAGGCAAAGGCGTGTCGTTTGGCGCATGGCAAATGCTTCCAGGCGCCAACCATTCACGGATCATGGCCAAGAGCGGCTTTGATTGGATCTGTGTCGACACGGAGCACGGAAACATTGCAGGTAAATAATGAAGCAGTGAAAACGGCGGATTGATTTTGTTCTCTGATATACGTAACCCCGTACTGCTACGAATTGGCAAGGGGGGAAGCCTCTAGCCAGGCACGAGCTCCTCAGTTAATATATATATTGTGCAAATTATTAACTATTGTTGATTCTAGATGGCCAAATGCACGAAGCCGTGGCTGCAATTGCCGCTACGGGTGTCAGTCCCGTCGTGCGAATTGCTGCTAACGAGTTGTGGATGGTTAAGCGTATGTATCCCTTTTCTAGAAGGGTTCACTTATCACCCAGATCGCACGCAGATGGTGTGATTGTTAATTCCAAGAATAGGTGCCTTGGACGCAGGAGCCCATGGAATTGTTGTCCCTCTCCTCCATACTGTAGACGATGCAAGGAAACTAGTGGAATCGGCCAAGTTTCCTCCCTTGGGCAGAAGAGGGTTTGGAAGCCCATTTTCCATGGGCTCATTTGGGAATCTTACTCAAACGGACTATTTGCTTCAGGCAAATGAAGCCTTGGTTACAATTGTTCAAATAGAAACCAAAGAGGCTTTTGAAAACGTGAAGTTTGCAGATATTTTTTTTTATCAATCACTAAATCATCCTTTGACGGTATTCAAAAGCCTGGCAAGCTGACTAGGGTAATTCGAGTGCAACGGATAGGTTGAGGAAATCGCCAAAGTTCCAGGAGTAGACGTGTTGTTGGTTGGTCCGTGGGACCTGGGAAACAATATTAGTCGGCCTGTTATGGGTGATTTCCATCCTGACTTGGTGGCTGCAATTGAAAGAATTCGCAAGGCAGCCGTCGACAACGGTAAGAAGGCTGGAATTTACAGCGCAGATGGCGATTCCGCAAGCAAGTACGCAGAGCAAGGGTTTCACATGGTAGGACGGGGCTTTTATATTCAAAAATTTCTTTATCCTTTTCGGCCTCTTGCATTGGATGCTGACGTTAATATGCAGATATCTGTGATTTCCGACGTCGCTGCTCTTACTGCCCATCTATCGAACTCGCTAAATACTGCTCGGGCGCGCTTATAAGGAGGTCAAATGTCCCTTGCGCGAGATATGGTAGACATGCACGTTAATATTTTTAATGATAGCAACATAATCACACATATTCGTAATTTTTATATCAATTCTTCTACCTCCTTTATTGCCTTCTCAACTTCCTGCTCCGTAAATCGGTGAAATAACTTTTTTGGATCTGATAGAGTTTCGCCTCCGTCATTGGATGTGGAAAGGACTCGCTGAACGTGCAGAACAGGTACGTCAAACTCGTAAACGTCCTTCCACCGTTTGTTTTGTGGGGTCATAACATCAATTTCTGAATATGTGAATGGCTTCCTTTCTCGTAGCTTTGCTATGGTGTTTTTTGCCGTATCGCATAGAGAGCAATGGACGCGTGTGAAGAGGGTGAGTTGGGCATTTTGGAATAGCCGGATTGAAGTGCGCATCGTGTCGTGTTTAGGTAGCCCCTCTATAAAATTATATCAGTAATTAACATGAGTTACATATGAATCAGAGAGCACATACGTGAGCATTAATTTTCAAGATCAACTTGGGAAATATCGCTGTCTGCTTTGGTGTTGTCCATATTTCATTGTCCCGGGCCTCCAGAATCTTCGATGGTTTTGGGAAGCTAGCGCTAGCAAAAGTATTTAGAAGCACTTAACATCCCACCAATGGTTCCAATCTGCAAGCCAAACGGCTACAGGTTATCAACCAGCTCTTATAACGATTGAGGGATCTGTTTACTGGATCATAAAACGCTAACTAAAATATGGCGCAAAAATGTGTCCACAAGGGCTGCGGTAAGGTGTTTACGGACCCTGACGAACTGTGCGTCTATCATCCTGGGCCGCCTGAATTTCACGAAGGGCACAAAGGTCAGTGTTCATGTCATCCTGGATTTGGTTCTTTACTAGGATGCGATATGAGACAAAACAGCTCAAAATCAAAGGAGAACGCCCCATGAACCGACAAGTGCGGGGATTCCTCGAAGAAGCGCTGGTAGCTGACAGAGATTTGCCGCTACAATACAGGATGGAAATGTTGTAAACCTCGCGTTCTCAGTTTCGACGAATTCCTGGCCATCCCACCGTGCACGACGGGGAAACATTCAGCAGTCGATAACGCTCCAACTCCAGAGTCTAAAAATGATCCCCCCCAGATAGCACCCGACACTACTCCGAAACATATTCCGATTGCCATCGGAAACATTCCAACCACTCTCTCCGCGGCAGGTGCTCATTCCCCCAAACCTTCAACGTCTCCTCCTCCAGAATCAGAATCCGATGACCCATCCCTTGCGATTGAGGCTGGTGCGGCATGTCGTCGAAGAGGCTGCAATGGTAAATATTCACCTTCCGTTCCAAGGGATGATGAGAAATGCGAACACCATCCGGGTCTGCCTATTTTCCATGAGGGGAGCAAGGGCTGGAGCTGTTGCAAGCGCAGAGTGTTAGAATTCGATGAGTTTATGAAGATAGCTGGCTGTAAGCAAAGGTCGAGGCATTTGTTTATTGGGAAGGCGAAGAAGACGGAGGAGAAGGTTGACAATATTCGGTGAGTTTCAACGATGTGTTTCTTCAGAAACCTATGGTATCGACGACAGATACATCTGTATTCCTCTTGACGTGATATACCTTCATAAAATTCGGACAGGCTTGCTAACTGCGTTTCGCCTTAACTTTGAAGGACCGATTTCTACCAAACCGCTACCTCCATCATGGCCACCCTCTACCTCAAGAAGATCGACAAAGCCAATGCGAAAGTCAACTTCACCTCGCCTACTACAATAGAATTGGATCTCCCGACCTCTGATAACAAGCGCTTCAAGGAAACCCTCATCCTCTACGCACCAATCGATACAGAGAAGTCCAGTTTCCAGATCATGGGCACGAAGATGGATTTGAACCTAGCGAAGGCGGACGGGACGAGTTGGCCGGTCCTGCGAAAAGATGATAAACATACCGGGGAGATCATTCAGACTGGACGGGCGAAGAAGGCTTGAAGTAATATAAAAGTACGGTTGACGCGGCGGTAGTTTGTGTTTGATTATTTTTAGATAATGGCATACGTGGATATGACGATAGGAAATCATTTAGGCGTGCATTTCATCGCCGCTGGCTGAATTAATTGAGGAGTTTTGTGAAGGGCGTAGGTTTCTGATTTTTTTTTTTTTTTTTTTTTGGGAGGAAACAAGTTAATTGATTGGAAAGCTGTATGGTCAAGTGGATTCATGGAGCATATATCCAGCACTCGGGGAAAGGAGACGATGTGAGTTTGCATTATGCAGCTGAATTTTACGAGGCATAAAAGTGATAGGAATAATCGCAATACGAAGTTCTCGGGATAAAATAGTATGCCGTCCCCCTTATGTTTTTACACAGCATGCTGAAATTACAATGCAGAACCCTAGCCCGACGGACACAAGCGTGATACCAATATCGGCCATGATAAACAAGAGAGAATTACCATGATATGTCACGCCTCCTCCACAGCTAAAGCCCACAGGAAAATAAGCCCAGCCATAAAAGTTAATTTGGGAAAAAGGACAACGCAGAAATTGGTCTCCAGAGCCGGGAACGGAAGGAAACCCATTTCTCACAAAACAACACACAAAATAAAAGTGGTGTAAGGACGGATAACCCTCAGCATGCCGCATGTTGCGGAGCTCTAGTTTTGAAATTTACATGGCTATGTAAACCTCTACTGATGATGGGAAAAAGAAGGAAGAAAAAGAGGAAAAGTCTTCGAAGTGAGCGACAAGCTTTTATACTAGGAATCATGTGACATGGTGTATGAAAAGTGCACCAAGCCCTAACGCTAGGCTATTTTGGTTGAAACAAAACTTTTACTTCATCAAACCTTATCAACATCAACACAACAGGGCGACGTTTTTATCGGCTCGGAAAAGCACGAGCCCTCCTTCGGGTCCCCAAAACCATTCCACGAGCAACCATTCCACGAGCAAAACAGAGCTGGAGGTAATGAGACTAGGAAATAGTAATCGGGTTGCTGATGGTGTTGGAAGGTTGATTCATAGTAATTATCAAGCAGGCCAGGCACTGCTTCAAAAGGAGGGGTGGTCACGTGGCATCAAAGCGAGTGATAGGAATGTCAACGAATCTGTTGGGGGGATTGGATTGGGTGATTCGTACCCTCTATACCACCACGGCGCTGGTGGTGATTGAGCTCTTTTGCCCTAGTGGCCTAATAGGTTATGAGCCCGTGTAAGCGCGACTGCTACAGGGTGTGCCAACATGCTATCACAGGTTCGAATCAGACCAAGGCCAGAAGAATATCCCTTACTAATACACATTCTCTTACCAAGGTGGAGGAGATTGGTGGTTAGGCACCCAGGAAGACCCCAGGCCACCAAGGACCAATGGCAGTACTCCGTAGAGTAGTGGAACTTAGGAAGAGCCAGGTTCCCCCAGCTGGCCGGATGGCAGAGTGGGTCCGAGGGGGTTGGAGGGATTGGATTGGGTGATTCGTACCCTCTATCACCTCGTCTTGGGGGCAAGGCACAATTAGCGCGGTTTTTTAACACGTACCTTAGTGTATTAAATACACGAAAACTACTGAATTATATGAGAGATCAGCTGTATTGATGTGTTTTAGTGTAATTTATGTAATTTATTTGATTTAATCTTAATTATTAAAATGGAACTCCTGTCAACATCAACTTTTCAGATAGAGAGGAATATTATTACATACAACACAATTATATCTTAATTTTGAAACTCTACTCTTATTCTGCTCTGTTTTCTTTCTTTTATACTGACATCAGACACAAACTTGAGATTCTAACAGAGAAATTCAATGATTAAGATTTGAATTTAATCAAGTTGAGGGTAGAGAACTTGAGAATTCAAAGAAATGAAGATAAAATTATTGATGAAATTGAATATGAAATAAAGCAATATCAGTGTAAGGCGAAGCCGTACGAAGAAGCTCTTGGGCATGCTATTCTTATTCTTTATCGTCGTAACTCTAAGATATGCTGTGCAAGCGGAAACAAGCAGGAGGTGAAGCCCTGTGCGTAGTCATGTGACTACGCGTATGATGGAGCGAAGGCGTGGCACTGCGTGTGGCAGGGCGTAGCAATCAGTGTCAGTGTCAGTAATGATATCAATAGTAGTTAGTCAATCTATGAAAAATATAAGCATTGACAATAGCATGATCAATAATTGTAACGGGCGTACATCGATTAACGATCTAGCACTATCCTAAATACAGATTACGAATTGATTAAGGAAAGAAAGAGAAAAGAGATCAGAAGGAAAGGTTGTACGAAGGGGGTTCTTATAACATGACCCCCCCCAAATAACCAGGTTATCCCGGACGCCACCCCAGCCAAACCCCCCCTGGATAATTGAGTTATATGGGGGGGGTCTGCTTGGCATGTTATCTTGGCAGTTATTGGAGCTCTGTACAAGATGATTGGCTGAAGAAAAATATTGTGGGTAAAAATTGATTGATATAGATCTGACTAGCTAGCTAGCTACCTTTCCTCTATCTTTCTTCTATCTATATGACCTGCTTGGCTTCACCATATGGGCTACTAGTCCTAGACACCAACGTAGAGGTGCAGATCATGTCTAGGTGTCATACACAGACTCCGTATGACATACCTGCCCCTCCGAGAAAGAGAAAGAGAAAGAGAAAAGAGATTGAGCATACCAGAGAGAGAGAGCTAATCAAGGATTATAGGAGCAGCAGGTGTTGAACCAGCTGTGAGCAGCTGCTGTTCAGAGGGACCCCTCATCCGCCGTTGAGGGCCATCCTCCTCATCATCATCATCCACAATCTCTATCACCTCCACCCCTTCCCCATCTCGTACGGAGCAGCGAATGGCATGATCACGCCATTTGCAGTTGCCACAAGCTCCACCAAAGTGGCCAGGCAGGCGACGGCATTCTGGGAATGGCCGAAGACCTGGATGAGCACTCCGGCAGGCAAGGCATGCATGTGGCTCCGTCCGGCCGCGAGATTGAATGAGAATGGCATTGATGTACGATGGCCGGTGGCTTCGAACCTGCAGCTCTGTCATGCTGCCTCATACAAAGGGTACATCTTGCCCTGGGAGAGCCAGGACTGCCCTGGATTGTGGACTGTGGGTGAAGGGACTCAGCTGTTGATCAGCCACGAAGAGGATGCGATGGGGGCCCTGAGGGCCAGAAAGACCGAGGAGGGAGAGAGCTCTATATTGTATGGAGAAGAGGGCAGTTAGTGTTGTGATATCTGATATCTAGTTGATGAAGCAATCTGTCAGAGCTTTGTACATACATGGTTGATATGATGGTGTGTTGAAAGAAGAAGAAAAGAAGAAGAGGAGAGAGAGGAGAAGATATTATTATAAAGAGATGAGTGGGTGCAAAGAAGCAGATGTAATTCACTGCTTTTGTCATCATCATCAATCTGCCAATTCATCCACCCCCATCAATCAGCTCACCACCCTCTGTTGTCTTTGTACGATAGCCAGCTGTAGTGAGAGAATACACTGTATAGTAGGAAACCTTCATACAATGAAGAGCAGAGCTGCATTAGCTAGCTAGCAGTACACTCTAATCCATCTAAAAATACACTCTATCTATATTATTATATAAAGTCAAAGTCCCAGCAACTCCGTATGAAGAGAAAGGAAATGACAGGTTCTCTAGAGCTGCCTCTGTCTTTTCAACAGCTCTGTCAATTTATTAAGAGAGAGCTTCCCCCGCTGGCGGATCAGCTCCAGAGATTCCACAGCAGCACTGACAGTCATATCAGAGGACACACGCGTACGAATCTCATTGATGATGATCTTTCACCGGCAGAACATCATCTGCTCCTTGGAGAAGCCCTTGCGCCAGCTGCCTCCCTGATCCTCCAGGCTCTGCACTGATGGACCACCCCCCAGACCAGTGGTCCACTCCCGCCACAGATCAGGCACTGACTGTATTGTACGGGAAAGAGAATAACCATTTCCTGTCCGGGAAGAGGTGAGAAGTGTGGCTGTCAGATCCACAGATTCAGCATTGTTAGATGATGATTGTCTCATCTCCATCTCTGACTCCACTGACCTCTGTACGATGTCTCTGGAAAGAGTAGAAGAAGAGGAGGGCAGAGAGAAAGTAGAGAGAATGGCAGCCAGATTCATCACTGAATTCTGAGCAGCAGAGCTCTGAGGAACTGCCTGTATGAAGAAAATGATTTGACCATCAACTAGATCAGCAAGCTGCTGAGCCATTTTTTGCTGCAGTTGTTGATTCTCATAACCCCACTTATCAATGGACTGAATCATCTCCTGTCGCACATTTTTCAGCTGATCAGCAATGACAGATACTACTCGCTGAATCTGAATCTTCTGAGGCTCCACAGCTGTCTCAAGAGTCTGAACAATCTGAAGAGTATACTTCTGATAATCCTCTCGTACGAAGAGAGCATCTGACCATAGAGGGTGGTCAGGGAACTGCCTCTGCAGAAACACAGAGTTCTGAAGAATCACTGTATGAAGCTGCTTCAGCAGCCGCAGAAATCTCTGAGCTGCTAAGTCTTGTTCATTCTCTGACAATTCTTGCTCTGTCTTCTTCACTTCTTCCATTTCTGCTGCTTCTCTTTCCCTCTTCTGTGTCTGTCTCTGTTTCTGGCTCAATCTCTCGTACGAATCAAATCTATCTAGCCAGACATCCACCCATGGCCAGATGGCAGCCTCCAGCTGCTTCGGGGGGGGGGATGGTGGCTCGAGGAAGAAAGTAGTTGCCCTGAGTCTGTGGTTCAAACCCTGCCATTGCTCGTACGAACTCTCGGGGGATATTGGTGAGATAGCAGTTGGTCAGAGCATCATTATTCCATCGGCCAGCCCAGCGAATCTGACCCTCTGACACCCCATTCAGTTCAGCATATCTGAACCCCTGACTCCGACCAAGATGAGTCTTCTTGCTTGACAGAAGCCCAGCTGCTGCATACATGCGATTGACCCACTGAAGCTGAGTATTGTATGAAAGAGGCTTGAAGGTATCCTGTTCACAGAGAAGGTGGATATCATACCAGAGAGAGTGTCTTCAAAAGTCTGGAAGACTTTCCCATACAATATTCCAGCGGTAGAACAGATAGAATGTCAGATGAGATATTGTACAGAGTAGAGGATTCTTATGTCTCATCACAGCAGCATACTTCAGCTGCCCCAGCTGGTTGGTCTTGCCATTATCTGTGATGAGAATCATAGGCCAGCATGGAGTGGGCCCCTCATTTGAAAGCTGAAGGATGAAAAGGTCAGGCAGCTGTGCCGTACGGGATGTCTCCCTCTGCAGAAGCATGTTGTGATTCATGAGGAAGTTCAGCTCTGTACAAAGATGGCTCATCACAGATGTTTGATCATTTTTATATCAGCCAGTTCAGCAGAACTTCATCAGATGAATCATCATTTTCTCATTGTATCCATCCTGCAGAGTATTGGCCCCCTGATCCACATACTGTGCCCGCTTTCGTACAGACTCCTTGGTTTCATGCGTACAAAGAACTGCACTGACCAGCTGTTCATGTGGATGATCAGAGGAGTTGATTCCTCTGCTCTTCTGAAATCTGTACAGATCCACCACGGCTGCCACATATAGCTTGACTGTGCTCTTACCCACAGTCTGCAGCACAGTGTTGCCATCCCTGTCCGTACGAGCTCTCTTGCTCTTATAAACAGAGCCCTGCAGTGGACGACAAAGCACCTTCTCCTCCAGAAACCAGACCAGCTTTCTCTCTGTCACCATCTCCCCATCTTCAAAGCCAGTCTCCTTGCAGAAGTCCTGTACGAAGAGATAGGAGTTAGAACTAGAATGATCAATCTGGATGCAGGGAAGCAGTGCCACCCACCCGCCATTCTCTCTGCTTGGGGAGATACTGCTTATTGGTATTCTTTGGTCGATTCTGCAGGGCCAGGGCCAGGGCCTTTTCCCCGTACGAAAAGAGGTCTTTGCTGATCTGAAGCTGCCGCTCCACCTCTGTACAGTCAGCTAGAGATGTCATGATGAAGAATACAGAGCAGGGGTGCTTAAAAATCTATTCTTGAAGGATGATGCCTGCTCGTACGGTATGAATCAAGTGGGGTTGAATGTATGTACAATATAATTAAACACTAAAAAGTTATCGTGGGGCTTGGCTAACATACATAGTAACATGGGTTATAACGCCACCCAAACCCCCCCCCGTATAACCACTAGTAATGCCTAGTTAACAGGTTCCTACGGAGAATTTTAATCTCGGAGGTATCTTACAGTTCCAGATGAGCACGAGACCAATTTCCTTCTCAATTGCACTCGCTCTCTGCTCAATTTGACCCTATCCCCTCCCAACAAATTCTGCCTCTACGGTATGTGTCCAGCAATCTGCAAAAAATTGTCTTCCCTTTGCCGTATTCTGATTTCCTGATACTCGCGAACAAGACTGGCCACCCGTGTCTCCACTCTTTCATGAACAGCGATCCACTCGCTGGCACCTTCAAAAAGCGCCCCTTGAGGATCTCCAGCTTTTCTGTCTTGATGAAGACGGTTGGACTTTCTAAGCAAATCTACAAAACTG